CTAATTTTCTATCAAAGTCTACAATAAATATTTAAGAACCTTTCCTGCTTTCAGTATTATATTAAGCAATTAATTAAAAACAATCCTTACTACTTACTGCTTCATATTCCAGTTCTGCTAAAAGACTGAAATGCTCTTTCCCCAACAGCAGTAGCTTGGTCCTTCCTGTGATTGGACTCACTTCCAGGTGAGTGAAATAAAACACTACGAAGAGAAATCCAAAAGTACTCAACCCCAGGAGTAACTTCCATTTGTTCTCCCTTACACTTTTTTTAAAGTGTTCCTTCTTGTTGGGAGGAAGAGTCCTGGATTCTATCACAATATATAGCTCCCAACAAGACAGCCCCTAGATCGAAAAGAAAAAGTCAAGATTCTGATAATAGTATCGGCACATATCACCAAAACTAAATGCTTATTGCTAGAATTTTATGTCATCAAATACTTGAATTTATGATATTTCTCGGTATAAATGTTTTTTTAAATTTATAAAATTCTTAGCTAAATGAAAAAACTATATAGAGCTATAGTTAAAAAGTCTAATGTTCATTTTAATTTTCTTCAGTTATTTTAAAAGTAAACGTTAAATGAGGGGGTTTATTACTACAACTACCACTAGTTAACACTGACTGCTGACCACATATAATGTGCTCTTCTAATCATCATACAGATGTCATCTCATTCAACCTTCATAAGAACCATTGCAGGAGAGAAAATGGAGACGGAGGGAACTTAAGCAATTTGTCCTAGGTCGTAGAGGTGATAAGAAGAGGAAAACCAAACAATGAAGCAATGTGATTCCAGAGTCTGAGCCCTTGACCACGTCATAGGGAATGGACTGCACACATAAACATCTCTACCTTGAATCACCATTCTCCCCGCTGCTCATCAGACCCCCAGCATAAGCTGCCAGTGCTTCAGCAAGTGAAACTACCTCAGCACTGATTTGAGAAATAAGTATTGCTCAGTAGCAGAAACTCCATCCCTTAGAACAGTGGTTCTCAACCTTCTGGCCCTTTAAATACAGTTCCTCATGTTGTGGTGACCCCCAACCATAAAATTATTTTCGTTGCTACTTCATAACTGTAATGTTGCTACTGTTATGAATCGTAATGTAAATATCTGATATGCAGGATGGTCTGAGGCGACCCCTGTGAAAGGGTCATTCGACTGCCAAAAGGGTCGCGACCCACAGGTTGAGAACCGCTGCCCTAGAACATGACAAAGGACAGGTAATAAGAGCACAAGCAAAGAAAAGAAGGAAATCGGAGATTTTATAGGTAACACCTGAGGAGCTCCCATTTCTACCCGGCAACAACACTCCCTGCTGCTTATCAGAGCCCAGAGACATTCTGACAACAAGCAATGTTTTCAAGACTGGTACAAAAATATTTTCCTTACGAGTTCATCTGCAAAAGCACAACAAAAATTTAAAACATACACATCATTCTCTTGACAAAAAATTATTTTATAAAATAACTTCTTTAAGTTATCTTAATTTTGTTGTCACGCCGAAAATGCCTCTAAAATTTAGAGTCTAAAGTTTCAACCTGAAAAGATTAAACCAACCTATGAAGTATACTTATTTCCTATTTAAAACTTTACATGACTTGTCATTATTTGTTTAAATTTAACATATTCTAAAAGAAAATTTACAGTCATAACCACAACAATAAAAACGTTAAAATAAATAATTTAAAAGGATGGAAGGATTCTTTCCTCCAGCAAACACAACTCGGGGTCTCCTGAACTCCTCTTCAACTAGGCCTTCACTTTCAGACACTGCACGGTCCAATATTAGCCAGAATCCCCCATCCTCCATATCTGATCACCCCTGAATCTAACTGGGAGCTGCATCCTCCACCAGCCCCCAGGTGATGATCACCCTCACCTGCCTTCAGCAAGAATCCTGTTAGGTCTGTTCAGGCAGAATCTCCCCTTACTCCCAATGTTGCCTGTAATTTTCCATCCGCCGACCCCTGCCCCCTGCTCCTCAGCTAGAAATGAATTCCTATTTGGCCATGCTGTATTCAGAACTGGCTCTGGTTCTACACCAAGGCCTCCTTTCCCCTACTACAATACTCCAGAATAAAATCTGTTTTTACTGCTTTAACTATGGCCGAGTTTTGGTTTTCTTCGACAGTGGTTAAACTGAGAGCTAATCTAGCTATTTTCCGCATGCTGATGCCAAATCATAAAGAACACAATAAATTACAGGGTACAAGTTCTCAATTTTGATAAAAACAAAATTGGGCTGGTAAGTAAGAAGGCTAGAAGGAAGTTCACTGTTATTAAACATAAGAAAGCTTTATGGAGATAATGCTTAACTTTATCTTTCTTCAGTCTTCATAGAGCCAAATAAGAGAAAACAGCCTTATGGGGAGAGCAAATTAAATCAAATATAAAGTACTGCCATTTAGCTGTAAAAATATTAATTATTATAAAGGGCTACCAAGAAAAAATAATAAAGATTTGTTAAAAATAGAATAGAAAAAAATAAGTAAATATTAATGGTTTAAGAATTAACTTGGCTAGGAGTGAGCCCATTCTTTGTTCTGTTTTTTTAAAAAATATAAACTCCTTCACTTTATTTTTTTAATTTTCTTAAGAGAACTTTAAATTTTATTTTTCACTTACAGTTTACATTCAATATTATTTTGTATTAGTTTTAGGTGTAACAGCTCATTCTTTTTTAAAAATACACTTTTATTGATTTTAGAGAGGGAGAGGGAGAGAAGAAACATCAATGAAGAGAATCATTGACCAGTTGCCTCCTGCACGCCCCCTACTGGGGATGGAGCCTGCAACACAGCACATGCCCTGACAGGGAATCAAACTGTGATCTCCTGGTACATAGGTGCCGCTCAACCACTGAGCCAATCCGGCTAGGCAAGCTCATTCTTAAATAAGCAAAATTCTTCAGTTTCGTGATCCACTGCCTCAAATTCCATACACTAAAAATGGGATGTTTGTAAAGCACCGTTCTTATCCATGAGTTATAATCAACATTTGATTCTTTTTGCAATCACGTATACAAGGTCAACCTTTTAAAAAGTGTCTATATGAGATATGCAAGAATAATTTTTAAAAGATAATATGCAGTAAATTATTTCAAGATTACTAAGTCTTACATAACAAAACTGAATCTTTACTTTGAGCTAACTATGGGAGGGAAATCTAACGAATTTTCCTTCAAAGTGTAGTTTCACCAATATCCTTTAATACAAAAGCTTATTTTTTTTTAAAGCATTTTACCTGCCAACAATGATTGCAAGTAGTTTCTGCACTGGTTTAAGAATTATCCATAAGAGAGGGATGGGAGCAGCTTGCCACCGTGGAGAAGTGTGGAAACTCCTGATGTCTCTTATGGAAAAGCGGTTTAGAGGATGCAATACTGAAAGAGCGGGAACTACTGCAACTTCTACTATCAGTTTCTGTCTTGGAAAAGAGTCACACCATGCTGTACATGTACTGTCCTTGCTTTTAAGACTCGAGAGGTATCCTGCCCTTTTGTTATTAAAAGTTCTATACAAATGTGAGTTTCCAGGCAGAGAAGTCACCCTATTACACCGATTTACTCCCAGTTTGCATTCAATATTCTTTACTATGTGGTTAAGTTGTACTTGATGACAGTCCAGTGAGGTTATAGCTGTTGTGTTACATTTTCTCCAGTTGGTCCATAAATTAAATCGGAAGGAAACACAGTTTCTAGTAGCAGACTGCAATCCATAGATGAAGCTCATCTTTCTTTTGCTTGATTATCTAGAACCCAAAAAAAATAAACTATAAATATCTCTGGAAAATATGTGTTTACCAAACTGGAAACATAACACATTAGGAAAGAGGTGTGTCAGTCCTTCCTTTAACACATCTCACACTAATTCCCTGGGGTTTCTCACCCCTACAGCGGTGCCTTTGAGCAATACAAACCAAAGAGGCTTCGCTTACTTTTTTCTTATTCTTCAACATGTACTTTCAAAACTTTTCTTCTTTCCATTTTTTTTTTTACTCGGAGGAAGTCTATTTTTCTTTTTAATCCTCACCCAAGGACATGTTATTGAGAGAGAAACATCAATCAGTTGCCTTCCCCTATGCACCCCAACCGGGGATGGAACCCACAACCTAGGAATGAGCCCTGACCAGAAATCAAACCCGCAACCTTTCAGTGTATGGGATGACACTCCAACCAACTGAGCCACATGGGCCTGGGCAGACACCTATCTTTATTTTAATGCTAAATTACTTGGGGGATAAGAAATGGATTACATAAAAACAGTAGTAAAGTTTTATCAATTGACAGGAATGGGGTGGGGAGGGGGTCGGAGAAGCAGGTAATGCTTATAAGCCTAACTTGTAAGATGATGTTGTTGTTGTTTAAATACAAATTTATTCCTTTCAGGAAAACACTGGCACTTCTGATTGGGGTAAAGGTGGCGTGAGACCAGACGTATCCTCCCACCTGAAACAACTAAAGATACAGACAGAATAAATAATGGTTTGAACACCCTGGACATTAGACAATGAAGGTGAATATCAACAGAGCCATACTGATGTAAATACAGATTCATGCCCATCTAAAGGAGATCCAACAAGAACAATGGAATTTGGGCTTTGTGTTGCCAAATGTTCCAATATTCTCAAGGAAAACCAGAAATCGGGCTCTATGTGAAAGTTATGAATTTAAAAATGTTGGCAACCAACTTAAAAAAAAAATTAAGCACCTTGACTGAACAAACATAGCCAGACCCCATTCACTGTTTGATCTCTGAATCACGTTCTTCACTCATTCATTAAATAGTTCATTAGGAGTGCACTACATGCCATACCATACGCCAGTGCTGGTGAACCTTTTGAGCTCGGCGTGTCAGCATTTTGAAAAACCCTAACTTAACTCTGGTGCCGTGTCACATATAGAAATTTTTGATATTTGCAACCATAGTAAAACAAAGACATATTTCTGATATTTATTTTATATATTTAAATACCATTTAACGAAGAAAAATCAACCAAAAAAATGAGTTCGCGTGTCACCTGACACACGTGTCATAGGTTCGCCATCACTGCCATACGCCATTCTAAATGCTAGGAATAGCACAGGAAACATAACAGCCAAAAAATCTCTACCCAATTTGCAGAAATGGTAATGCTACACTACGTTAGCATACGCAAATATAAGTAAATCTAAAGGAGTATACATCAAACTATTCATAGTGGTTATTTTGGGTGGCAGGATGGTGGCTGTAAGGGATTTAATATTTCCATTATATATACTTCAGTGCTGTTTAAATTTTTACAGCATCTATTATTACTTCTGTAAGTCTCCAAACCAATAAAGGCAACTGTTCTTGTAATTTCCATTGGTTTCCACTGGCTTCAATAAACTCCTCCAAAAGGGTAGACCAGACCTCCCACTATTTCTCCAGGCACCTTCCCCTCCTCTCCTTCACCGGCTCCTGAACTCCAGACCCACTGATGTACTTACACTTCTCAGAAAAGAAAAGCTATCCTCTCTTCGACAACACACATCTATTTACACTACTCAGCTCTGCCCATGGCCAAGCAAACCCCTGCTCATCTCTACTGACACAGAACGTGTAACATTATACAAACATAAGTTTTAAAAAAATTTACCATTTACATCACTGACAATCAAGTGTCACCCAGAACAGCAATAATGACTGATAGTTCATAATCCTTAGTTTATCCTTAAGAAAGGGGAAAGAATGGGAGCGAACGCTATACATTTTCAAAGAGCCCCTCACTAGACGACACAGAGCAGAAGAAAAAAAAATCAGGGCTGACACATCCACTACAAAGAACTGAAGGAGGTCAACAAACATCGCTGGCAGACATCTAGGATTACGAAATTAATGATGTGAGAAAATTAAACAATTTGGATTGTTAGCCTCTAAGAACATTTCAGACCCTTAATTGTTTAAGTACCATCTCAGAAGGAGCAAGTGCAGCACTCACTGGCACTCACAGCTGACGCCTGGAAGACAGTTTTAACAACTCCGCTGAAAATGACTCTTTCTCCTCTGGTTTCTATGGAAACAGCTGTCAGATTGGCAAAAATAGGGCATGTACTTTAAAATAATCATTCAAGCAAAGTACACACAGGATGGAAGGCTTAAAAAAAAGAAACTGGATGGCAACAGACTCGGTTCTTAAGCTTCCAAATGTCAGACTGCACCCTTCCCTCCGCGCGGCCGAGAATGCGGATATGCACCCCAATCCTCGCGGCCGAGAATGCGGATATGCACCCCAATCCTCGTAGGGAGGGCTGGGCACTGGTCATCGCCACTGTGGCTGACCCCGCCCTGAACTCCAAATGCGGTCTTGCCATTTCCGGGACTAAAATCTCAGAGGCCCGCGTGGATTAACAACACTCTCGCTCCACTTTACACAAGCGAGTGACGTTACTTAAATAGGTTTTTTTTAAAAGTGATTGTTGTAGACAAGTTTATGTATAAGTTTGCACAGGAATTTTCCTACTTTTTCATTGGCAGGTTCAGGCAGGAAAACTTTTATTTCTCTAGGAGTGAGGAGTAAGAGAGAGGGCGTGACTCCCAGGCGCCTCCAGCTGCGGGAAGCGGAGTCCCCAGGGGGCACAGGATGCAGCGGGGAGGCACAGGACGGGGTGGTGAGATAAACAGGAACCGCAGACCAGCAGGAAAGCCTGGAGGGGGCGGGGAGGAGCGGGTGTCTTCCCGGAAAGCACGGCCGCCTGCCAACTGCACTCCCGTGGTCCCCGGGCAGCACCCTGGGTCCTTGCATTTCACACCACGAGAAAGGGGAAGAATGACGCTTTCTTCCCACCTAAACCTTTTCTACTCACCCTCTCTCCCCATTCCCGCTCCGGCGCCCCTCCGTCCCTCCCCGCCTGCATCCCAGTCCTCGCCACTCCAACCCCGCCGGGTCCCCAGGGGCCCCCGATCCTCACCCCAGTGCTCCTGGAACTCCCCACCCCTGGGCCTGGCCAACTCAGAAAGGCAGGGCAAAGGCGTCCCCACGCGGACAGACGCCAGCA